GGTCCTCAAGGCGTCCACCGGTCGCGTCGTCTACACCAACAACGTGTCGTGGGTGACGTCGGCGCCAGCCGGCGAGGGGGGTTCCGCTGGTGTCGCCGCTGCACCGACACCCCCCCCGTTCACGCCGCCGGTCGTCTCGATCAACTTTGGCCCAGCACCGACGCCTTCGACTGCCGCAACGCCACCTGCCGCAACGCCGCCGCCAGCGACCACGCCGTCGTCCGGTTCCACGCCTTCACAGCCGCCCTCTGCCACTTCGCCGCCACCGTCGGCGACCCCCGCCCCTGGCCAGCCGTCTTCTGCCTCTTCGCCGTCACCGTTGGCGACCCTCGATCCAGACCAGTCGCCGCCGCCGGACCCCGCGATGCCCCCGCTTACGGCTCACGCCATGCGGCAGCTTCGCCCGGGTACAAAGGCCGAGGGTATGATAGACCCGCAGCTGCCAAGCCGTACGAGATCGGGCACGAGGCACAGCACAGGACTCATCTCGATGCTAGACAAGAACACTCTGGTGTCGATGCTGGAGGCTCGGAGCGCGGTGGATGAGGAGCGCAGGGAGCTGGGGGGGGCGGAGGCCGGAGAGCAGGGGGGAACGGGGGCCGGAGAACAGGCGGGAGCACTCGCAGCGGTGGACCCGGGGGCTGGAGGAGCGGGCTTTCCACTCGCATTTGCCACGCTCCTCGCCAACCGGGAAGACATCGACGCCACGCTGCGAGACCAGCGCCCGCCGGAGCAACGCCCTGACCTTCCGCACTGCCAGGCCAGCGACCTTCGTGTCCCCAAGAGCTACAAAGAGGCCATGGCGTCGGAGCACCGGCACCTTTGGAGCGACTCTATGCAAAGGGAGTTTTACGGCTTGTTGGAAGCGGGGACTTTTACTCCGGCGAAGTAGCAACTAGTGGAGAACGCAATTAACGCTAAGTGGATATTCGATTGGAAGGCAGATGAGTTTGGATGGCCCACTAAGGTGAAGTCGAGACCTGTAGCGAGAGGTGATATGCAGAGAGAGTACATTGACTTTGGAGAGCTGTACGCGCCTACCGTTTCTGTTTCGTGTGTTAGGATGTTGGCTGCGTTGGCGTGCGAGTTAAATCTCGACCTGTGTCATTTCGATATTGAGCAAGCTTTTGTGCGCTCGGAGTTGGAGGAAGACGTGTACATGCGTTTGCCACAGGGATGTGGAGCTCTATCTGGAATGATTGTAAAACTAGGCAAGAGTCTGTATGGCTTGAGACAGGCATCTAGGCAGTGGCATGCAATGCTGAAGAGGTGTTTAGTGGCGTTAGGTTTTGAGCAGTGCATGGCCGATGCTTGTGTGTTTCGTTTGATTGAGGATGGATGTGTTGTTTTGATTTTGGTAGTACATGTAGATGATATTTTTGCTGTGGGAGAGAGGGAGAGATGTGACAAGTTTGGCGCCGACCTTAACAAGTCCGTGCCAGGGAAGAACCTGGGAGAGTTGAGATGGTATTCTGGGTGCTTTTACGAGAGGAACAAGGAGACCGGAAGGTTGACGATTTCTCAGCAGACTTTCACGGACGAGCTAGCAGCAGAATATGGAGTAGTGGGAGGTAAGAGCGTTCCGATGTCTTCGGGGGTCAAGCTTTCTGATTTTGATGCGGATGAGGTGGCGACAGACTTTCCGTTTCGTGAGCTGGTAGGATCGTTGATGTGGCTGGCGACTCAAACTAGGCCAGACATTGCGAATGCTGTAAGGGCAGCAGCTAGGTATTGCGCATCTCCGAAGCTGGTACACTGGAACGCAGCGATGGATATTTTAGGCTATGCGAGGAGGACGAGTCACTTTGGTATTTCGTTTCAGAGGGGTACAGTAGAAGGATTCAGCTTGCAGGGGTACGCTGATGCGGACTTTGCAAGCAAGGCAGCAGACCGTAGGTCGGTATCAGGGGGAATCGTGACGTGTGGAGGAGGCGCTGTGTCTTGGTTTTCCAGAACGCAAAAGTGCGTCACGCTTTCGACGACAGAAGCAGAGTACGTCGCACTTGGTGACATAGTGAAGGAGATTTTGTTTTTGAGGCAGATTTGGCGTTTCATGTTGCCGCAGGTCGGCATGCCGTGCATCCCCGTCTTCGAGGACAACCAGGGGGCGATTCAACTAGCGCAGAACCCCATCTCAAACTCGAACTCGAAGCACATAGATGTAAGGCACCATTTTCTCAGGGAACTGGTAGAGAGGAAGGAAATTTCGGTGATCCACGTGCCGTCTCCGTACCAGCGTGCAGACTTTCTCACGAAGAGCTTGCCGAAGGACGCTTTCGAGTCTCACCGTGATTTTGCAATGAATTTGGCATGAACATTTTATTGTTTTTCTGATGGGTTGTGTTTTGGTTTGGTTTTGTTGCTCGTTTTGTTTCCCGTTTTCTTTCATTTCTCGCGCCAAGTATTTGTTACGCGCGATGCAGTGTTCATGTTCCTTTGAGTTGTTTTTCCCTCTTATGTTATTCTGGTCGAGTATTGATGGCATATATTATTGGAGAGATGTATTTTGGTTGAGATATCGAGTGTTGGCGAAGTTTTCAGTGAGAAACTGTTGCGAGCAGGGGGGATGTTAGATATACTCGCAGCAGTATCTGGTCGTGAGGATCCCAGGGGGATACGTGTTGGGAATTTCGTGTGTTGCAGGGTACCATCGGTGCGGTCACGGGGACCCTTTTGGCGTGGTTGGTGCGATGAAGCTTGCGTGCGTGCTGCGCTCACTTCTTCCTCTCTCTCTCCACCACCACCACCGTCTCTCTCCAATCAAGTTTCCTTCTCCCACTCTCTCTCCAACTCTCTCTCAATCTCTCTCTCTCGGCCTAACACGGCCGACTACCCAGTGCCCCAAGTAACGTCCAGAACGTGCTTGCTGCACCCCGCGTAGTTTACCTTTCACCTTTGTTGCTTTCGGCCAGTTCCCGATACTCCCATCATGGCGGAGGTCGCATCTGCATGCATACAAGATGCGAGGACTCTCGAAAGCACCTACAAAACGCGTGTATGTGAAATCTCCAACATGTCTTGACTACTGAAAAGCGAAGATCCACATCCTCCAACAGTGGCACTTCTTTCTATACGGACAACATTGATTTGTATTTGACCTTGCACCTCAAGATACCCATACCGTCATCGATACAAGCCTATTCTAAACACGGCGGTGCAAACCGCAAGGCCTAGGGCCTCCACTCGCATATACCGACGCACGTACACCCGTGATGTGATGTGGCGACAACACCACTGCAGGGCCGTTACAATGTGAACCAGTATCCATACACACACCGGGAATTAATCATCTCATGCGCTAAACTCGTCTACAATCAACGAGGCAGCTGCTTGCGAAACTTGTCGCCAATCAAATTTCGAGAAATATCTTCGTTTTTCGTCGAGGAAACCAGCCATCGACGAGAGCGAGTAGATGGTCAAAGTTGCACGGGAGCTTCGCACCTTGAAGTTTCGTGAACCCATTTCCTTCTCGCTTCGTAGCACAGCCGAGCTACTCCTCTCCGAGCGTTGATCGGAGGTCGTGACGAGCTTGCTTCCTATCGGCCCGCGAACAAAATGAGTGCACGGGGGGGGTGTTGTGTGATGGACTGCTGGTGTGTACAAATCGCAACGCAACACTTCAATAGCTCTGCATAATATGTAGCCCAAGGACGATCACAGCAATGGCAAATCGGAGCGCTAGTATTGTATCCTTTCGCCCCTGGAAGATTAAACGGTGGGACCCGCCCAGAGCACCCGGCTCTATGCTGCTGCCGCCGCTGTTGCTGCACCTGCCTCTGTCGAAGTCACACTGAATTTTCGACCGCTTCCTCCAGACGTTTGATCGCGTGTGAAATCCTGTGGTTCAGACACATTTGCTTCTCGTTTTTTATACATGGGATGCACCGTGTGTGTGCTTCTTCCCGTCTGCACCAACCACACGCTAGCCGGTAGTTCATACCACATTAGAGTCTCGAGGAAAAATTCCCGGTCACCCGAAGGTACTTCCAAGGAAGAACATCGATATTTTCAAGCATCGCCGACGAGATTTGTCCAAACCCCGGCCCGAACATTAGGTGCACACGTACGTGCGTGTGGAGCGAAAGCCAACTAGACACCAGCGCTGTTTTTTCTTACTGGTGTACGCGTGTCAAAGCACGCTCACTCGCCCGGCCATATGCAATCCCCTCTCCGGTACTACTAAATACTAGCACAACCACCGAGTGTTGGCTGGGATTCGTCCTACCGAGGGGGTGGTTTGTGGAGGATGCAGTGCTGGGCAAAGGATTGTAGCGCTTGGAGGTTAGACTACCGTTGGGTGCAAGAATTAGAAACAAAACCACACCCGCCCGTGCGGGTTTATCGGCTGCTGCATCACAATGAATGAATGCCGTCAAGAAACGAGACCCCGACAGAGACTTTGAACAAGCAGAGAGCTTGCGCACACCAACATTATTACGAACATCTTGGGTAGCTTTATCGCAGCTCACTGTGCTCTTTGTCTCGCGGGCTTTCTAACCCAAAAAATTCTCATGCGGAAGGACAAGATGAAATCAGCTATTATAGAGAAAAGAAGATACATTCTCCGGAAGAAAAAAGGAACAAGGCACGGGGAGTCTAGTAATGTGTTCAACAAATACTGTGGCTCAAATCATGCATTCCATACCTAACGCATACATGGCACGATTTGTCTGACACACACATCCTTCTTTTCTGGCTGCCGTACCCTGCACCAAGGCGTGGGCAGCAGCACGAAGATTACCTATTCACGGGCAAATATCTACGAAATTTGATTTCATCCAAGGGATATGTAGTCTATGGTCTAAGCGCTGTGCAAAAGGGCGCAGAACCGTGCAAAAATTCCAGGTCGCTCGGTCGAACCACGGAAACATTTTCTACCCTATATATAAAGCAAGAAGACGGCCGCGTACACCACGTGTGCCATGTGCAATGGCTCATCGGTTCACCGCGAGTATCCAGGTGTACCGCACGCAGCGCCAGACCGACAAGCAGCTGAAGTCATGCAGAGACAGCAACAGCAAGGGGATGGGCCAAGGGATGGGCCTAGTGGGGTTCTCGACACCTCCGGGTGAGTTTCTTTCAGCGATCAAAGATGCTTCGCCAGTGAACGGATTGGCAGGTGCTTATTACTCCGTACTATTTTTGCTCCGACGAGGTTTGATTGAAGAACGTATTCGAGATCTTGGGGACGGCGACATAAAGTACGGAGTTCTTCTTCAACGGTCGCGTGGATACCATTGAGTATACCATATGGAACCTTCCCTTCACGCGGGTCAACATCGCAACGAGTCGTCCATGTGATTTCGGGAACATGGATTCATGGCCTGCGACGGCTAACAGATACGCACACTCTACGTTGATGGGAATAACGAGGGGAACGCGTCACGAGCACTGAGCGCTGGGAGTATTGGAATCTTCAGATCTCAGCTACAGCACTAGAAATATGAGCACCTACTGTAGGGGGGCGGCCAGAATGCGTGGAATGGCTGCTGCTGGGCTTCGAGAGGCACAGCAAGCAGAAACGCTGACGACTTTTGTTTTCGTTGCCGAAAATAATAGTAGAAGCGAAGTTGGGGGTCACGATATTGAGGGCCCCACGCCCGGTACATTGATCTGTACTTCCTCGGCGTAAGCTCTGCTCTAATATCCGTGCGATGTTGCCGAACTTCGATTGTTGGAAAATAGAAATAACGAAAGCTGGCGTTTTCACAGTCTACAGTCCCGTCGGGATAACCAAAAAATTGCCTTGCAAGTTGCACGAAGGGCTTCGTCGGAGACTTGTAGGCACGAAAATCGTTGGATAGTGGGCTGACGTCTTGTCCCTTACGGTGGCATTACCACGTACAGGGTAGAACGACTGCGCTCCTAGGGTGGTCAAGGATTTGTGTAGAAAAACGAACGCACCAATGTGCCAATGTCCCGAGAAACATGTATCCTGTTGTTCATCCGTCGTTAGGATCTCGGCAAGATGTCATAAGCCAGTGTTTCCATCGGATTGGAACAATGGGAAGAGTGTTCATTCCGGTGAATCTTTAAGTGGTTCCTCCTCCGTGTTCAACTGCTTTTACCCGCGTAGACGTGAATCTTAGGATCTTGGGCCAATAAGCCACACCCTCACACCACACCAGCACGCCTCACTCACACAAAAGATCGCGCCCACCTGTTCGCCGGACTTTGAGAGATACAACCTTGCACTAACGCACACCTGAAAGCACAAGGCTCAAGCAGGCAACAACAGGACCTTCACGACCGAGGCCCTGGCAAAAGATATTTGGTATAGTCTAGAGTCAACTTGCGGATATAGCAAAATATGAGGTGAGCTACTGTTTTGCTTCGCGCGAGACCACAACAGAATCTAGGCAGATCAGATGACGCCCCTCCGCTGCCAGACGCGTGCTCTCTTTGGCCAAGATGGTGATGATGCGCCAACCTGTTTGCGTGCGGGAATGTGTGCGTGCATGCATGCGTGTGTGTACGTATGTCAGCCGGTGGGTGTAGGTTGGGACGTTGGCGTCGACCGTGTGGGTGCACCAAGCTGCAGAGCATCCTGCACATCAAGATATCTGAGCGGCTCCCAGGTGGCACAGGTTTCGTTGCACATCATGGCCAGCACAGCGCCCTAGACATGCGTGCGAGTGAGCAAAGAAAATCGTTCACAAGAGCATGACGTGCGCTGACTTATCGCGGTACGCGTCAGACTAGACTATAGTCTATGCGATGTATGAATGTTCTTATGCATACGATCTTGTTCCCTTCAAAAATGTTCCCCCGTCGTTTTTCCCAAGCGCAAGCTTGGCATAGTACCCACTTTATGACAGTGCATGCAGTGTTTTTTTTGCTCACGAATGAAACATTACTTGTCAGCCTACAGCATTTCGTCGAAACGAAGTAAAGACAACGCAACACGGGGGACGCGACACGTGATCGGTACCGACACGTCTCTATAGACATCTCAGCATGCTTATCCATCACATCGTCGTCAAGACGACGCAAGTTTCTCAATTTTCGCCCCTTGCCAGTGTATATTTGCTGTCGTCGTACCCCTACCCGGAGATTTCCAAAGGATTAAATTGGCCATTCTTTATGTCTTTATACGGTAATTCTGACTGTGGCATGCATCTCGCCGCCCGCATACCTAGTGCACATTACTCGGTCTGCCACGATTTGAGTTTTTGTCTAAATTGCAGCGGTGGAGTAAACACAAGTTTTTTCGTCTGTTCGCTATCGTTATCGTTTTATACATACGCCGTTGAGGATGTTCGACTAACAAGATGTTTCTGGACCCTACCCAGAGACGTGATGTGAAGGCTGGACTCATCATTTCAACGTTGGTAGCAACCAACGACGTCTCTGCACAATGAAAATGGTGGCATACACGGGAGACAGCGGCATTCTGTTTTGACAATGCTTTCTTGACAACATTCAAATCTCCATGTACTGTACCACGAGTACCACCATCTGCTTGGCAGGGGAGCACAAACGAAAAGTAAACCCGTGTAAATCACAGCTGTTTGAATCCAGCTGGCAAGGGGAGTTGTTCTTCTCCAGCTGTGCTTGCGCGCTTTTGCCTGACATCTGCTTTGGCCGGAGAGACTGGCCACTTGTGAGCGTACACGCCCGCACGTACATCTCTAGACTGCTTCGTAGAGACGTCAGCCAGCAACGGACAGACAGGAGCAGATGGAATAGTCATGCACCATCAAAATATCATACGCTACTGAATTGCTTTCTCCCATATTTGTATAGATCGTACAGCTCATACCCAACTCGTACGCCAAGCACATCGTAAGCAGAGAACAGCGGTGGCCTACAATTCCGCCGAAAGAGGTTGCACCGCCTTGTGCGTTTCGTGATCTATCTGCTGATTGAAAATATGGCAATGTCTGGCCTTTTACCGAAAATGACGAAGGATATGGCGTACATAGACAGTCTTCGCAAGCTCCACAACGCAACCCCATTAAGGAGTACACTCATGATAACGCCGGGTATCCATCCCCCGACCGACGTCATGGTGGGCGCGGCTCTCCCACGCACATCAGTGATTCCGCCCGTCTATCTCTGATGTTGACCCTCGCTGGAAACCCGGAATGATATGGTCGCGCTCAACGAAGTGGAAGGTGGACGGACGAGGAGCACCAAGGATTTCTCCACGGCCTCGAGGTGTACGGTTACGGAAACTGGGACGCTATCGCGGTCTTCGTTCCCTCTCGCAGCCCGCCCCAGATCGAAGCCTACGCTCAGCAGTACGTTGCGCAAGTACGTCCATACACACTCTTGGGTTGTGCCTAGAGCGCTTTGAAGGGGTCCTATTCGAAACAACGTTGTGCAATAGTTTCGTTCAAGGTGCGCTTGACCCGCCTTTCGGAGCGTGTCCCTCGTCTGCACATTGTTCCTGTGCAGAGAACCAGATCAGTCGAGAGTGTTGGGGCTCCAGCTGTGCATTCGTTGTCTTGTCGTCACCATTCCGTATGTGATCTACCCTTGAGAGAAGTCTAACAATAGCTCATCTGCGCTCAATTGCATAAATTGTGTTGGCTGTTTTACCTTGTAGCGCATGACAGTTCTCATGCTGCAACGTTCGGGGTGCTTGTATTACCTATGAATAAACCGTGTGAGATGCTATGCGAGGTTTCGTCCACCAGCCCTTAGGATCGAACTCGGTTGATGGGGAGGTGGTGAACATTCGGGTTGCACCCAACAGCGAGAATCAACTACATACCTGTACTCATGTTTCTCACTTGGTTGCTATCCGATAGGCCAGGTGGGTAGGTCATATCGGAGATAATAATGAAATGCGATTCACTTAATAGTCCGCGGTGATCAGGGCCGGTTTGTTTTTTGGGCGTCCACGGCACAGGTCACATTCTTCCTCTCTCTCACCAACGGTCCCAGTGCCCTGACATAAACAGTCGCCGAACAGTTTTCCTCGACTCACCTCATGCTGCTCCCTACAAACACCCGGCCACCCATGGACTCAGGCCTCACCCACCCCCGGTCATATCTGCTTGCTCGTCATTGCGAATGATCCACAGGGAGTTCCACAAGGGCATGGTGGCGGAGCCGGCAGCGGAGGCAGTCATGGCGGCAGTAGCAGTAACGGCAGTGGCGCGGGTTCTCCCGGCGGTGCTAGCCCTTTCGCCGCGCAGCAGCAGTATCAGCACCAGGCCCAGTACCAGCAGCAGCATCAAGCGCAGCAGCAGCCGGAGGAGCAGCACCAACAACGTCAGGTGTGGAGCCGCACGGGACTGGTTCCCGTCGCAAACAACCCCGACAGCGAACAAGAGATGAGGCGCCAACTCGATACAAACGGGGTTTGTTACGGCATGCTGTAGGCGCGGTGCTCCAGGCTGGACCGCGGCCACGGCCGCGGCTGATATCACCCTGAAGTACAGGATCGCGTGACCTTTCGGTGATAAGCTGGTATTCAAGCCGGCAGTACGAACACACACACGATGTCGAATACTAGTCGGCTGTGGTTAATGATTGTTTAGGTTACGCCGTATATGTCGGCATTGACATTAAGTTTTTTTTTGTGCTGGATAATCTTCCCACAACGCCGGAAACAAGCGCGGAGTTCACGCGCGCGATGTGCGGGTGTTTCTCTCGGGTCGTAGCAAGGCCTGTGCGTGTACTGTAATTTTTCACTTTGTTTTCAATTTTTGTCAAGTGTTTCTTGTTTCTTCATTGTAGGGAGACTGTTTTGCGATACTCGACGATTGGAAGTTTCCATCTCGGATAGCATACTCAGTGTATTGATTTACGTGCTATACTCTAGCTACCAGAATCGCCTTCGGGACAAGAATGTTCATAGTTGTTGCTCGGGCGGGGAATAATACAGTATGGTGTTTGCAGTCCCGCGAGCGTGAATCCGGCAAGGCTCGGTCGTAAGGAAGAGGCTCTACAAGTAAATAAATGGAGACGTTGGAGTCGCTAGGCCAGGCAGACGTACGTTCTGCTATCGATGTAGACACAGATGAGACTCACGTTTGCTAGTTAGTTGGTGAAGAATATATGTGGCGCGTGATGCGGTACTTGTGTAGACGATACCAACAACAGAGGGGTCCATCCGCTTGCCGTTTGGTGCTCGTATACTCCCTGGGTGGGTGTCTTGCTCCCACTACATCGCCTCATTTCTATGGTATGCACGTTTTTTCGCTATTGCTGCATGTACGCGTACGCGCATGTCTGAGTTCGGCATAACGTTGCTGCTAGTCGCGGATGTTTCATGGGAAATTTTCTACATCTCTACAGAGAGGAGTTCGAGTTTTTTAATGCTGTCGATATTCCCCGTGAAACACAGAGTAATGGTTGTGGTGCAACCGCTTGGCTGCTCTCCCCGATCGCTTTTGAAACTCAAAGGTACATGATGCAAATGTGCTTCTGTGACTCCATGCACGTACACACGTCCGGGCGTGATGAGTTAAGAAACCAACGCATATGGTCGGGTAGAAACGAGTAAAAGAGAAATCAGGATTAGGGCAAAGATTCTCAACGCCCAGGGTATTCTGCATTGTCCAGTGAAGTGGTACGTGTAGTACACGCCCAATCGCCCACACATGAGACGTAATCCATACCTACATCAAGCGCCACGTACAACTGCAGCCGAGGGGAGCAAATTCGTATGCCCAACATCATTTGATGCCGATTATGGCGTATTGCTCACGTTGGTTTCTGCTGTGTCTAGAGTCTGGCCGTGGTCTACGGCGGGCCTGGCGGGAACACAAATATTATGACTATGGCTCCAACGGGTTGGTGGTAACGTGACAATCACGTTCTCGTTCAGATGTGCAGCATAGCACCGTGACACACGAACGTGGAGAGCCTGATACTACTCTCGGTCAGTCTAAGCCAGGCCATTCAAGGCGGGGGCCGCACCTGATACCACGAGATGGTGAAGATTTTCTAAGGCACCTACAATAGCAATACAAGTAATTTTATTCAAGAGATGTACCCGCAAAGGTGACAGGGTTCACGCCACAAAGAGTCATGTCTTCCGGCCGTGGTGTTGTTGCTTCGTTTGTCGCTGTGGTTGTGTTCTAAACAACGTCCGTCTAGATCGCTGCTCAGTACCTTCTTCCATCTGTACCAGTCCAGTTGACACGGACGTCTTCCGTGGGCGTCTGCCACAAAGGTCCCGAAACCCCAGATGCTAATGTTGATGTTGAGAAAAAAATAGTTGGAAGAGAATACAACATGGCCGTTCAGCGTTGCTTCAAGGGCACCACGTGCTCATTACGTCCTCACCACATAGTCATCGAGCAATGCGACCAACTTCCGAGTTTGCGGCGATTGATGTGCGTGTTGTGTATTTTTTTTTTGAATGTCTTTCTGTTGCGTTTCCTGCTGTACAACATGGTACAGCAAAACGCTGCACCTTGCCATCAGCTGTGTCAAACCGAACAACAGGCATATGACACCTGGAATGATGCAACACATGGACATTTTGAAGCAGTTCATTGCACCGACTGGGATACATCTCTGTACTCTGTTCGCTTCGTCTACTACTTGAACAAGTGTGGACGTTCGGTTTGTTCTTCTGATCTCCGGCACCATGTTTGTGCACCTTTGTTCATCCTGCGTTGAGCTGTTGTTCACACACACAGCAGGCAGCGGTATGGAAGGTGTTGGGCAAAGTTCACCACGTTACAGTCAGACGGAGATGAAAAGAACTAGGGTTAAGTGTTGGCCCCTTGGATCCCAATGGGGCGGGCGGCCATAACGAGACGGATAGCGGTGAGGGTTTGGGCGGAAATGAAGTACCATGATACTCGATCTTCGTATACCGACACATGTCATAAAAACAATCTTGAAGCCAGCTCTGTGGTCCGAATCCACATGGGCGCGTGTGTATGAAACAAGTAGATTTTTTCACAACAATATTCGGATTCTCGAAGACAGTTTCGAAGTAGTTTCGTTGGCCTCCCCACTGCCGACCCTATCCAGGCTCCTCTTCCGAACCTTCTTCACCCTCCCTTTCACGCACCCGCACCCGCTCAAAGCACTCTCACTGGGTGTAGTCGTATATCTTCGGGCTTGTGAAATATGAACTGGAGTTAGCGGGTGGCCAGCACCTCGCATCATGGAGGGACGGTTACCGCAAGACAGGGATTCCATGGCATGCTGTCCATAGGGTCCTCGATAATTCCCGGGTGAGATACAATCAGATATGCATACTAGAGAACGAGACCAGCGCACGACTACTAGACTACAGGGACAATGTTATTTTGATGTTGTTGTTCGTTTGCCACCCCTTTGGCGTCCGGTGTAAGGCAACTTTTTCGGGAGACCCTCCGTTGGAAACCACATCCCCTTGTGTCATAACTCCACTCGAGCTTCGATGTGCAGCAGCAGAGCACGTTATACCTGTGCTCAGAAATAAGCCACGAATACCCACGCTGATACTAAAGAGTTTCATTCTGAGTGGGCTCACCTTTTCATGTCATATGATGAGAGCACGTCGCGGACACAAATCGCATATATATGCCACGGCGTTTGTGCCTCCCGCAGATGATGCGGGCGGCCCGTCCACAACGGGAATTCAAGTCCAGCACAGCAAAAAAGTAAGTGCAGAAACCTCGGTGCATTTAAAATAAAGGCAAACAACGCAGGGAGAGGGTGTTGGTCTATGTAACCTAAGAGAGAGAGGGGCTATTACCGTACGGTTGGGTAGAACTGAGCGACGGATGTAACATGTGACAAAGAGATTTAAGGAACGACGGTTTCGAGCGCGCATGTGTTGTGCGGATGCATTGTAGGAGACTTTTCAGGTTCCATCTCTCTGCGCGCATCTTTACACCCCCCTCTTCAATAATGTCGAAGAAAGCACGGGAGATCGCCAAGCGCACCAAGCATGCCGAGTCATAGATAGGTCGGGGTCGTGGTTGGCTGGTCGTGTTCAGACCCCCCCCCCCCCCCCCAAAAATGAAATAAGGAGTATGGGGTTTCCTCCCCAGTCCCCTGGGGAAAGGGACCCCTCTCCCGGGAGCTGGGTCCCGGGTGCAATTGAATCTCCCCAAAGGGAAGTAAACAGCAAAACAGTGAGTTGGAGGGTGGGGCCTTACTCCCCCGTATTTCCAACCAACAGCAAGGGAATCTACTAAGCAGCGAGATCGGGAAGTGATGACCTTGCGAATTTCGTCTTGTTTAACACAAAATCCCCACAAAAAGTTGTCCCCTTGGGCGTCGGCGTTGTGAATTCCCCCTTAC